AATATTATCATGTGAACCTGATGTGAGAAGTAGGAAGCTTGATATAATTCTATACTTAAATTAATTAATCTTTAAATTAATTTTATTCTCATGTTAATTGCTATAATTTAACTAGTTTCCTGCATCAACTATTGCTGGTGTGGAGATAATAAAACCATAATCTTAATGCTTCAAATAGGACAAATAAGCATTAAAATCTAATATAATTCACCAGCAAGAAATGCAAGGAAACAAACTGTCAGAGGGAAAGCGATCCTTGCTTCCCTTTGTTACCTACAAACTGCAGTGCTTTATTCAATCTTAACTTTAAATACTTAAAGACAAATGATGATAAACTGAGATTCAAAAATGAAGTTATTATTATTGAACAAAATAGAAATGGTTAGTTAATAAGAAAGAATAGCTATATCTCTCCTTTCATCAGCCTTCCTACATAAAAGAGGGGGAACTTGGACAACACACTCCCTTCATGAGTGAATTTTTCTCCACTTTACCCCAATTGCTTCCTGTGTTCACTCCCTTGGCCACATTCACTTCAGGCCTGCGTCAGTCTTCCTCCATATCCTGCTTTCTATCATTAACCCCATTGTTCTCCACATTCATATGTATGAGTTTTCTATGCTGCATTCACAAATTTCCATGAGCGCTGTAACGGAAGCACACCTTTATATATTCTGGACACCAAAAACTCTAAAACCATTTTTTTTTTTTGCCAAAACTGCATTGCTTCTGGAGACTTCCAGGGAGAACTAAACAGCAGCAATGTTTGATATTTCCTCTAGATTCTCATTAGTTCTTTAAATGCCATAAAGATTGAACTGTGTGAGCATGAAAGAGTTTCCTAATTAAACAAATGTATTCTCAAACCTGGTTACTCCCAGTAGCAAAATCAAACTGGAATGCCAGAATAAAGATGAGAGAGCATGAGTTACAAAAATACGTGATTAGAAAATATTGAACAATATTATTTACAATTTACTCCAGAGCTCAGCGGCTAGCCTTGTCCATGAGATACGATCACTGACCTGAGATGGTGGAAGAAGCTGCTTTTTTCCAATGTCTCATTGTTTCTAAGACAATAGGAGGGACTGAGAAGAAAATTGCAGCCTGGCTTCTGAAGTCACAGAGGCTTAATTTAAAAAAAAAAAAAATTAAAACAGCAGAAAGTAGCAATGCAGAGGAAAATTGAGAATGTAAACAGCACAAAGTTTCATAGCTGACTGCTTTGCTCCACTATTGTCACATGGGACCTTGGCTTGTATGATACCCAGATTTTACATGCAGTAAAACGTATTTTCCTCCAGACTTCATTCTCATGAGAATCTCATGTTTACTATGTACAGCTTCCCAAGATATGCATAGCTGAAATTTTATTTCTTAAACAGCTTTTTTTGTTGACTGGGCACTCACCCAAATGCTTTTTAAATCAACTGTATGCTTTCATACAAAATATACAATGGGTGTCTTTACGTCTAGTGCCTACTATGCTATTCTTTTCTTTTAGATTTCATCCAGGCATTCAGCATCTAACCATAACCCAGTGCTCTCTTAGGCTTTCCCATTTTTCTTTTCACTCCCATCACCAGACCCCAACTGCAGGAAGTGAGTTCACTCCATAGTCAAGGACTAGACTCTAGGACAATATACCTAACTTCAAATCCCTACTCAAACATTTCCTGACTCTGTAGCCTTGGCCAATTCACTAACCTTTTTCATCCTCAATTTCTTGATCTTTTTCATGCATATTCATTTTTCACAGTGATGGATTCCATTAAAAACATTTCAGACAAATACAATCCTGTATTTTGACCATATTTACTCCACACCTTCCTTTTTCAACCTTCTCCTTCTTCCCATTATTCTCCTTCATTCCTCTGGAGTCTTGCTTCTTTACTTTTGTGTCATATATGTCTGTAATACAAACCATGCATATACATGTAATTGGTTTTATGTATTTACATATAATCTAGGATCAACCAATGAGAGAAAGCACGAGTATGTGTCCTCAAGTCCACCTTACTTCACTTAGCATGACAGTCTTCCTTTGTACCCATTCCTATAGATATAAATTTGTTCTTCTTTACACCTAAATAAAACTCCACGATGTATTTACTGCATTCTTTATCTGTTGATAGGCACTTAGGCCGCTTGTATAAATTTGTTGTTATGAATAGTGCTACAGTAAAAATGTGCAAGTATTCCTTGATGTATTGACAGAGTTCTTTTGGTACATAATTGGGTAATATGGTAGACCTGTTTTTAGTTTCTTGAGGAACTTCCATATGAATCTACACTGACTTGGCTAACTTACATCGTCTCCCACAGTGTGTAAGAGATCCCTTTCCCCACATCTTCACCAACACTTTCTGGTATTTCTTTCTTTCTTCCTTTTCTTTCCTTTCCTTTTCTTTTCTTTTTCTTTCTTTCTTCTTTCTTTCTTTCTTCTTCCTTTAAATTTTTGATACAGGATCTCCCTGTACCCCTGGATTGTCTGGAACTGGTTATGTAGACCAGACTGTAATCTCACAGAGATTCGCCTACCTCTGCCTCCCGAGTGCTGGGATTAAAGGTGTATGCCATCATTCCCAGCTCAATATTTGTTTTCTTGATAGCTATCCGGAGTTGGAAGAAATGGAGTTTCAACATAACTTAATATTTCCCTGATAGTTAATGGTTGTTGTGCATTTTTTCATATAGTTGTTGTCCTTCATGTTTTGAAAACTGTTTATCTTGTTAATTATATATTTATTGCATTGTTTGGTTTGTGGGTTTTTTTTTAGTTATTTATTCTGGATATTAATTTTCTGTCAGATATGTATCTAGCAGCAATTTTATCCCATTTTGTCAGCCTTTCTCTCCACTTAGTTGCTTCTTTTGCTATGCAAAATTTTTTAATTTCAAGCACTCTCATTTGTCAATCCTTGGTTTCATTTACTGAGCTATCAGTCATTTTAGGAAAGTCCTTATCTATTCCTATATCTTAAAGTATTTTCCTCTGATGGTTTTAGGTCTTATGTTAAGGCCTCAATCCATTTTGAAATGATTTTTGCAGAGGATGAGTGACACATATCTAATTCCATTCTCCTACACAGGGATGGCCCATTTTCTCTGCAGCACTGTTGGAGAGGCTGTCTTTTAGCAAATGTAGGCTTTGGCTTCTTTGTCAAAACTTGGGTGGCTGTAGCTGCATGCATTTATTGTCTATTTCTGAGTCTTCTAGTCTAGTCCATTGATTTTTTTTCCAGTTTATTCTATTTGTTACCTGTAAGTCACTAAGTACAGCCCACTTAAGGAGTTCTGTTAAAGAAAGGGCTATCAAAGAATGTGTGATGGGTTTATTATTTCAAAGACTTACTTTTTAAAAAATATTTATTTTTTCTTTAATGTGTATGAGTGTTATGCCTGCATGTATGTATGTATGCCCGTGAAGGACAGAAGAGGGTCTTGGCTTTCTCATCTATTAACTGAGGGAGGTAAACTAGAATGCCCATGAGCTTGCTTCAAGCTCTAACAGTCGTCAACAAGCACTCTGACTCACAAACAATAGTTGGTTCTCCTATATAACACTGTAATTTATAGGAGCACTCTCTGTTTTTATAGACTATATAGAACATACAGAAGGTCATCTTACATTAAAAAAAGCTCATAATTGTAGGTACAAATAGCAACTGGTTTATAATTTTATAAGCTTTGTATCTTATTATATTACCTTTTTTGGCAACAGAAAGAAAATTGAATAAACATTCACCCTGAAGGTTGGCACTCACTGAGTATCCTAGGCAGATGTTTTCTAGATCTCTAACATTTTGGTTTTATTTATTGGTTCTATGCAACAGGTTATTTACTACTGAGGGAAGGTGCCCAACATTTTGTAGATTATTAAGTATGTAAGATTAGAGCTTTACTGTGGTGGTTTTAAAATATGGAACTGGAGAGATCACTCAGAGGTAAGATCACTTGCTGCTCTTACAGTAGACCCCAGTTTGGTTCCCAGCACCCACACTAGGTGGCTTACGATTACCTGTAACTCCAGCTCCAGGGGATCCAATACCATCTTCTGGCTTCTGCAAGCACCTGTACATGTGTGTACATACACACCTTGACACATGTACACATAAATAAAAATAAAAAGTAAGTCTTCGAGGGGCTGGAGAGATGGCTAGAGGTTAAGAGCACTGGCTGCTCTTGCAGAGGACTGAGGTTCAAATTCCAGCACCCACATGGCAGCTAAAAACTGTCTATAACTCCATTGATTTTTATGTTTGTTTTTGCACTAGTATCATGGTGTTCTTATTACTATGGCTTTGTAGAATAACAAAATTAACTATGTCTCTACCTCAAGTGTTGATTACTTTAAAAAGACTTCCTTAGTTTTATTTTATGTGTATGAATATTTTTTCTGTACATTTGTGTACAGTGGCCACAGAGACCAGAAGAGGATGACAGTCTCTGGAACTGGAGTTACAGACAGTTGTAAGCCACTATGTGGGTGATGGGACGTGAACCCTGGTGCTCTGCAAGAGCAGCTAGTGCTCCTAACCACTGAGCCATTCTCCAGTCTCCAGTCTTGATCTTTTTATTTAGAATTGCTTTGGCTATTCAGGGTCTTTTGTACTTCTATGTAAATCTTCGTATTTTTTCTGTGAAGGATGTCACTGAAATTGGTGTGTGGGGGGGTTGTACTGACTTTTTAAATTACTTTGGTAGTTTTTTTTCATCTTTAAAACAGCAGCTCTTTTACAGATTAATTATGAGTATTAGTAAATGATGTTTATAATTTCACAATAGACCTGCTACATAGTTAATAACTGATTTTCGAAGCCCCATTCTTTTACCCACCTATCACCTAATTTTGTCCTTACCTTAGTCACTTAAAAATTTTTTAAAGTTTTTATTGAGTTTCTGTAATTTCATACATTTCTTCATCAGATTTAGACCCCCACCCAATCAGTCCCCCTATCCCCCACTGGACCTCGTGTATTCTGTCATACATTTTTTAAAGGGGGGGAGTGAGAACACAGTCCCCCACTACCACAAATTATGCTGTCGAGTTTCCGGCATTTGGGGAAATCACAGACATTACGTCAGTCACTTTACACTAACAGTCAGAGCTAGGGATAGAGAAGGAAATCGATCAAGAAGTTTTCATCGGTAATTAATTTTCAATGTCATGACTTAAATTTGTGCCCGAGCTAAACTACAAATTAACTACTAGCAAAAATTTTTATCATTCCTGGAAAAAACAAAACCTTCAAAATCTAAATTAGTAAATCTATGCAAACCTTTTCTCTGGTATATAAAAGATAATTGGTTTTCTTTTACATCTTAAAAACACCAGTAGGTGGGCAAAAGAGACCCATTTATAACTTCCTGCATACGTGGTTTTTACCTCCAGTCAAAGTCACTCTCTTCCCTCACAAGCTATTAAACATGCTAAATCATTTTGACACCTACACAAATGATACCTGAGGGGCATCTTTTGACAACTGTGAAATGTATGCATCTTCTTATTTTAACCATTCAATGGGAATTGTCATTACTTTTTAGTTGTTATTTGCATAAATATTTCTAATAAAGTTATATTTCTGCTTGCTCTGTTCAGTGACGCTCCATCCTCTGCACACAGTCTCTGTACATACACCTATCCCAGCAGTAGTACCAGAGCACTTCTGACTTTGTGCCTCACATAATTGTTAACACCTTGAAGACAGAAATTCTACCTTGGTGCTTCTCTCCTAGGGCCTGCCAATCCCTGGACCCTGTTAGGCCCACTGTTGAAATAATGATTCTGAAATTCCTTGTGGTAAATAATTTAATCAAAATCTGCAGTAGCAAACATTGGGTCCTTGCCTTTCAAGGCAACATTTTAAATGCTTTGGAGATATTATTCAATCTAATGCCAATATTTTTGCATCTTAGAAGGAAACTGAGTCACAGAGAAATTGGGCAATCTGAGGTCAATAGCTGTGAACACTCTGGTCATGAACGCTGGCAGTCTAGAGCTTACATTCCAACCACAAATTGCATCCATGTATATTTCAATATTGCATACACCTTCCATACATCTTACATGTTTTATTATAAATGCACTCTCTAGTATTGGTTTAAAAATGATCAATAAATATCAGTGAGTAGGGAAGAAATCAGAACCACACTTTTTTTTTCTTGAGTTTCTTTTTTTCTTCTGAGCCAAGGAGACTTGCACATCATTGGCAGCAGAGGAATTCTTTGACTCTTCCCTGAGGATCCATTATCATCTGTGATGATGTGAAACAGAAACCATCAGTCCTCAGAGACCCTTTCAATTCCCCATGCTGTCTGAGTAAAAACTACAGAAATGGCACATTTTCAAGAGCCTTTATCACTGCCAATTTTTGTTGCCATTTTAAACCTATTATTTTAAATGAGCTCATTCGGGGAAAAAAAAGTGTGTTATCTCTTTGAAATAAGCTCCTTTAACACATAGCAATCTTGTTGCATCACAGTTACAGTGGAGCCAAAAGTGGTGCTAATCACAAATCAAGACTGTTCTGAGGTGGGGACTATAACATGGATTATAACAGATCCAATGATGTGAAAAGCCTGTGCCTCCTGTCCACAATCCTTGACCACCATTCCTACAAAAGTAAACTAATACAGAACCATTTTCCTATCTGATATTTGAGCTGTGCTCACTAAGGCAAATTAGCCGTTTGATCAAGGAGCATGCATGTTGTTTTTAGAAGTCTGACTTGTCAACTAATAGCCTCAACTGTTAACACTGCAGAATGACAAGTGAGCAATGAAACCCAGGTATGTTACAGAAAAGTTTACCAGTCTTATTTCCTCTCTGAATAGACTGTGTCAATGAATAAAGTTTGTCATCTTAAAAGGCTGAAGCCCACTGAGTTTAGGAAGAGTGAGCAGAACTGAGAATGGCCACCTGAGGAGAGAACACAAGCTTTCACCGTCCAGATATGTGCTCCAGAAATTACTTCTGAGAGATATGGGTTTTTAAAGCTTATTTATTTTTTAACCCACTAAATCCAATCAGTGCTGACCATATTGTTTTAATAGATTTTAAAATGAATAGGAAGCAGGTTACAGAAAACCAGTGGATACAGCTGCCTTGGTACGGGAATGGGGCATGTTTCGGTCCTCAGTCATAAGCTTCATTTCATAAGAACTGTGATGAGCAGGGAAAGGGTTTCGCTTGGATCGCTTGCTATTTCTGTGGTGTAATGGAAGGTGCAGAAACCTGTCATGCTAGGTCAGGGTGACCTGGGAGTCTGTGGCCTCATGCTTCATGTGTCTCAGGAGATAGAGAATTTGTGACCTTGTTCTTAGGACATTTCAATTCCTTTCTCAAATCACAACAGGAGACAGATTACCTGCAAATGATCTTACCAGGTCCTTGACCTCTTCTAGTCCAGGACTTTTATAGCACTTAGATTACAACTGTGCTCAGTGTTGCATTACCCAGAATGGAAATGAGATAGCAACAACTATCAGGAGCCTTTGGAGATATGACCCTTCCACTTGAATTTTCCCAGGAATAAGACCATCTAATAGATGAGGTATGTGAACTACAAATGCTGAAAGACTGTTCTCTGATCCCAACAGCTCATGTAAGGATACAGCTGATGCTCAGTCTCCAGGAGATGCTATGATCAACGAGTAGTAAGGACGTGAACAAACTACTTTACTTGTAAACTATTTGACTCCTGTACATAATTACTGATAATTGGTTTGACAATACTCTATGTTGTTATTTAATATCATCAGGACCGTGATCAATGTAGGAAAACTACAGAGAACTATTCTGTCCAGTGTTTGAAGGACATTACAAAAGCCAAGGCACTGAAAAATTTCCACAGACTTCATACCAAACCTATTGTTTTAGGTTATTTTGTGCTGTTGTCTTTGAGTACCTCAAACTGGGTAATGTTTAAGGAACAGAAATCTGTTGGCTCATGGTTCTAGAAGTTGGGAAAGACAAGCCGATGACCAGGATCTAGAAAGAGCCTTCTTGTAACCTCATTCCATATGAAAAGATGAAGGGTAAAAGAGTAGGATAAACAGAGGGGGCCACATGATGGATCATACTTACATCCTTTCTGTAAACCCATCCCCAAGAAAACGGTGTTGATCCCTCCATGCAGGCACAGCCCTCACATGATCTAACCACCCAGCAACCTCACTATTTAATACCATTACAATGGTAGTTACATTTTAGCATGACTTTAGAAAGATCTAATACTGAAAGCATAGTACTCTCTGGAATATTCGTATTAATAGTTTACATATACAGATTTAATTAGAAGCAGGGTAAACCCATGCTCTGACTAGACAACTCTCGATGGTATTACTTTGTTTTTCAGAGGCTCTGGAAAAAATACTTTATGAAAATACTTCATGGAAATACTTTATGGGAAAAGTTCTTTATGAATAAAAAATATAGATAAATAAATAATATAGATACAGATAGAAGTATGGATAGTCTGACTTAGGAAATACAAAATAAATAAGAATCATCAGCGATCTGAACATTTAATTAAATTAGGATCATTGGTGCCAGTTTTTCAGTTGGGTTTAGTTTCCTTAAATAATTGAAGATGTAATAAAATCAAAGAACAGAGCATAAAATTATTCTGATAAAAATGTCTTGGGAACTGGAGAGATGGCTCAGTGGCGAAGAGTCCTTGTTGCTCTTCCAGAGGACCCAATTTAGTTCTCAGAATCTATATCAACTGGTTTACAACTACCTGTGACTCCACTTCCAGGAGATCAGATGCCTCCCCTCTGGCCTCCATGGTCACCCACACACATGTGGCATACATTCATACAAACACACACATATAAATAAAAAATAAATAAAAATTTAAGGAATAAAAATGACAGTCTTTGTTTTCTGATAATCACTGAGGAAGTAAAGAATAATTTTTCAAATCACAGGAAAAAGCATTAATTAGAAAATCAAGTAAGCATAACCATTAAGATGAGGCAAATGTCTCAAAAATTTTAATGTATTTTACAGCTTATTTTCAGACTTGGGTTCTTTAATTAAGGCAAATAGAATTCATTTCCAGGCTTGTCACTTACAATCCCCTCCCCCCTTATTTTGTCATGCTGGGAATTGACAGGGCTTTTCAGCCATAGACCTTTTCAATATTTTCCTTATGAGATTAGGGTCTTACAAAGTTGCCCAGACTGGCCTTGAACTTACTGTGTAACCTAGGCAAGCTTTCAACTCATAATCCACCTGCTTCAGCCTCCAGCATAGCTGAGAGTACAGGCCTACACTGCTAAGCCTGACCTTTCACCTTCTAGAGTGCACATGCCAGTCACTTTAGGACTTTTCTCTTTAGCAGGCTTTGTATAGTCCACACTATCCACACCATTTTCACAATGGCACAGAGGTGTTACCATGAGACACATTTATCACTGCTCATTTAAATCAATAAATAAAGGCATAGCAAAAAATTATTTTAGTTTATAGAATGAGTAAATATTGATAAATTTCAGGAGTATAAATGGGTCTGATGAGTTAACCACCACTTTGGATAAAACCTTTTTTTAGATAATAAAGAAACATACATATAGTTATTTTTCTTTGTGCTATTGCTCCTAGGATAGTTTTAGCTACTCCTATTAACTAGAGCTAGTAACCAGAACAATTTGTATTTCACACAAAACGTGATGGAGCAGACTGTTGCAAACATAATTACCCATGAACATTTCAAATGAACAGTAGTGCACATGAACACACATAACACAATTTTTTAATGACTACATTGATTTAACATATTTTAAAAGGTATAAAACAAAAATAATCATTAATACACCCCAAAGCTACAACCACTCCAAAGCATAAAATATGAAATAAAGATATAAAAATTTGAAAGCATGCTTAGTAGCTGATGTTTGCTTTCTGTTTTACTTGGAAATTACATAGGTGTCAAATGATTATTCAATACCTAGCTCATGTTAATGTTAGTCCAGATTTTAACTTCAGAATAATGAGAATTATTCTCAATTTGATGTATAAAAGGTAAGTACTGATGAAGAAAAGTTGTCAGAAAAAGGATCCAATTTATTTGAAAATAAATTATATTTTTCATAATCTCAAATATTTTGTACTACAGTTAGCATATTTGTTCAGTAAATCTGTATAAATTAA